CACAAATAAACGTGTGTGTGTGTGTGTGTGTGTGTGTGTGTGTGTGTGTGTTTTTAGAGTGTGATAGGGGGAAATGAAGTCAGCCTCCCCCAGCTGCCTCTGCCGTACATCCACAGCTCAGCCACAAGGGTCTACTTTGGACATGAACGCCGCCTTGCAGAAGGTAATTTAGTGCTTGCCACACATCAAGTGAGCTTTTCCCTTATTAAAAAGAGTTAAATACATTTCCACGATCATTTAACCAAGTCAGTGGAACATATCATAGTATGTAAAAGCATTTGGTTTCCCTTTTCCATTTTAGTTCAGTCATTTTATTATCCCAGATGGGAAACTTGTTTTACTGTCAGGGGCACAAACATAAAAAACAGAAACAACAAAACAAAGTACCAGAAACCAAAACCAAAAATAATTCATGTACATACAATATACAGTAAACCATAATACAAATACAACAATGCAAAAACAATTGCTGCATTGCAAATGCTTAAATGGGATGCTAAAAGTAGATGTGCAAATTAGATGCTAAGGCGTTTTTACTCCTATTGCACTTCAACCTTGGTACTACAGTAATCTACAGCCTGAGAGAAGAGATTCAAACTCAAGGTGAAGGGGGTGGTTCGTACAGTCCAAATATTGCTGTCTCTTCTTAAAGACTGCATCAGAATTTACATCAATTTTCAAGTGGTTTATATACCATTCTCTGATCAAACCCACTCTGTTATTGCTATTGTTAACAACAAAAAGTCATTTGTTTTTTATAGTTCACAACATACTGTGGCTTTCAGAGAACATAAAGTGTATCAAAGGTTTTGCATAAGAATTCAAAATAAATGATTATAGACCAATAATTTTTCAACTATAATTTAATTATAGGAATAATACATAATAATATAAATTTCCCAGTATCGACTGATAATTTTTGTGCCCCAGTAATTATCATGGATCCCTACTATTAACTAAAAGTGAGATTGTTTTTGTGGAGTTTCAAGCTCATTGTCTTTTGCTCAAGTTCAGTCAGACATCTCACATTTGAAATGTTTGTTACAGCAGTATAACAGTTAGATTTTGGTGCTAGGCTCCGACCACATCACTCCCCGCAGATATTTTTACTTCGAGCTATTGGGGAGTGATGAGCAAACACCTTAAAAACCCTAGCTGCAGCCTACAGGTGAATGCTGTGGTGGTAGCAGGCAGCAATACTGATGCAGGGCAGCGGTGGCACTGACAGTGACAGCTGAAAATTTTGCACCTTAAGTAGGCCGCCAAATTGGAAGGGTGTGCCTGGTGTGTGATTATGGAGAGTGAGGCACGTCATGTGTATAGCAGTGGAGCTTATTATTACTATTATTATTGTCATTATTATATTGTTATCATTATTGTACAAGTATGTATATGTATTGTGTATATATATATTATCTAAGTAATTAACAGTTTTTGATTCTAATTTGTGCAGGCGAAAAGCAGGCAGCCACTCATGTGTCCCTGGACCAGGAGTATGACCAGGATTTGGCAGCCATGTGGTGCCACCTAGAGGAGCAGCTTGTGGCTGCCGCCAACCGGGGAATTGTCCCAGTTACCTTCCAGACCACCCAGTGCTGCCTGAATAGCCAAACAGACAACCTGCGCCACCCACTGGCTGTTGTGGAGGGTAAGAGGTCCTCAGTGCATATAGTTTTAACAGCTGCTTGCCGTAGTATAAATAAGAAGTTCAATAATGAGCCAACCCACTACTATCTAATTAAATTGTACATAATTGTGCTTGCTTAGTGTACAGCCCTCTTTGTGTCTCTCTCTGCAGAACCAATCATAGTGGAGGTGACGTTCAGGAACCCTCTGAAGGTTTCTCTGTCCCTGTCCAACCTCTCACTTGTCTGGAGGTTCACTGCTGATTGTGCATCTCAATCAAAGGAGAAGACGACTGAAGAGTTGTCCATCACTAATGAGGAGAACCTCGCTCTAGGGGTGGGCAACCTGGGCAAATTTCCTTTTAAAAATTGGGATTGTTTTTTAACTTGTTGGATAGATGCAATAAAAAAACAAAACTAAGAATTTCATGATCTGTTCCATATCTTTTTACTCCTGCAGATTACACAGAAAGATGACCTTGTCACAACGGAGGTTATCCCAGAGTTTAATATGGGTTCAGAGGAGACCAAAATGGTAAGGTGCTCACATGACTCTCTGATAGTGTGTTCCCACCATATACAAAGTGAATATTCGCCTTGAATATTCACTTTACTCGCGCTAGTTTACTCGCGGGATTATTTGTATTTACTGGTTTACAACGGTAGTATGAGCCTAAAATAAACAGATTTTGCTGTGATTTAATGTCAATAAATGGATCAAAAGGATGCCAAAGTAACTACATCAAGATGCCAATTTGTAAAAAGTTTGTTTTCTGAACAATCATGGCTATGCTAACTTAGTTTAACGTTGAGTAAAACCGTTAGCTGTTAAGTAACAGACACATATTTTTAGCTCCTACCAGGTACTCCAACTTCCTCTATTACTTTTCTAAGCGGTCTCCTTTTTCATCCTGTCTGTATAAATATAAAGTAATATTACAGAGCTCTTGGTGCACATAGACTGCTACAAGTGGGTGTGGCACCTCTGTGGCTCGCAGCAGACATATTGATAAGACGGAGTGAAGATAAATCCAATTTTTAATAGCAAAAGTTTAAAAATCTGTGCTCTCCTCTTGACGGTGAACAACTTCAGATCAAAGCAGAATCCGGAGTGACTACAGGTGTTTATTATTCCTCCAGATGTGCTGGCTCTGCCCCGGGCTCTCTTCTGCAGAGCTGCCCGGGATCAAGCAGCTGTCTGTTGGCCAGCAGAACTCTCCATCTCTCCCCTCCTCCCCATACAACACTGCAAAAACCCTGTGATATGCACACATTATTTTGCTCAAAACTCAATGTTTTCACGTGTTTTGCACCCAGCACAAATTTGCATTTGCTTGGGTCTATTCGTGTGACTGTACTTCTTTGACTGTACCATATTTGACTCATGAGACTGAACAAAACTCTAGCTATGTTGTGCTGTAAACAGTCACTGTGATCCTTTTATCTCAGGCTCGACTCAGGCTGCTACCGCACAGAACAGGTCAGCTGAACATTGTGGGTGTGGTATACAGCCTTGCTGCAGCCTCCTCTGGAGAGATGGCTACCAGCACTGAAGGTAATGCACACACGTGCTTCAATTATTGTTTGCTGCTTTAGTGTCAGTTCATTCTCATTTTGGTCAGTAGAAGGTCTGATATGTAATATGTATGATATGTACTTGTAATTTGGATGTACTTGTTTTTGGTACTTGGATTTACTATGTTAGAACAGATGGTTTGTTACCCACTGAACAATATAACATAGTCAAACTCTTACTTTGTTATTTACCGAACAGCGTGTTCTTGCTGTGTCACACCTAGCAGCCAGTTTTCCACAAAGGACGCTGACTGGTTCGGAGTGTACTGGCTACAAAAGCATAGATTGAAGTCCAGCAAGATGGATCCTATTGTGCTTTTGTGACCTCAAAGCTGTTTTGCTGTCACACTTACACACAGTGTGGATTTCTGCCTGTCTACAGACCAGCAGACATCGGATTTGATGGTGGTTCGTGGTAGACAGGAACTGAAGATCCGTGGCCCTCGACTCAACCAGACCAAAGAAGACAAGATGTCTGTTCGACATGGTCCGGATCTACGTCTGGATCCCATCATAACACCACCCATGCCCCTAATGGAGGTACCACTGACTCACTAACTGTAGAGACACTCATCCCATCCTGCAATGCTAGTAGTGTGGCAAATCTAAAGACTAAGGATGTCCCAATCAAGTTTTTATTGCCCCCAAACTCAGTCTGAGTCATTTAATAAGCATTAAATGCAATTTACGTTATGTTACTACATAATACTACATAATAAAGCACGCTTGAGCCACTACCCAGTCTGAATAACAGTACAATGGCAACCACAGTAACTATAGAAGGATTGTGTTAGCCCTCACAACAAAATACAAAGCAGTAGATATATAAAACATAGCAAGTAGTAATAACTTGTAATAAAACCAAGGGAAAAAAATTAAGTATAGATAGTATAGATAAGGAGCCTATCTGTGATGCAATACTTGTGTTTCTAAACAAAATGTAAGGTAAAGTGATTCCAGTATGTTCTTAGCGAAAGTATGAGGTATATTTTCATAATTATTGTAATAATATCGTGTATCGCAAATATTTTGGCCCAGATAATTATAATATAATATAATTATTATTAATAATTTTTAGTAATTTTTATATCGTCCCATGCCTAATACCAATGATTCCTGTGTGTGTCTGTGTCTGTGTGTGTCAGGTCTTCTTCCTGCAATTTCCCACTGCTCTTCTGTGTGGTGAGATCAGAAAGGCCTATGTTGAGTTCTGTAATGTCAGCAGTGTTGCTTTGTGCGGCCTTCGAGTGGTGTCCACACACCCTGATTTCTTCACTTTTGGGAGTCAGGCCACAACGCCCCTCAGCCCGACCTCAGCTGAAAACTGCTCAGCCTATAAAACCTTGGTCACAGCCACCGAGCCAGGCTTAGTGGCATCTGAGATTTTGGTTTCAGCTGAGGATTTCAGCCAGTCATCTGGTGTGATGGAGATTCCAATAGATGGCTGCACACTGCAACCGGGAGAGTCCACCCAGCTGCCTCTCTGGCTCAGAGGACCAGACCAGGAGGGAGTTCATGAAATCAATTTTCTCTTCTACTATGAGAGCACAAGCAAAGGAAACAAAATCAGGTAAAAATGTTAAAAAAGTAATCTGAAGAGATGTGAATTGGCATGCAGGCTTGCTGTATGATGTATTGTACCACTCATTTTAATATAAAGATTAGCAGCTTGTATCACAAAGGAAAAACTCATGTAACTAATAAATATGATCATTATGGAGCAGATTTAGGCTACACAAAATATATATAAATATATACTCGACCACCCGGTGTCTCATGACAATAAGGGCACATGCACCACCAAAATGTCTGAAAATCATTTCAGTAAAATTTGTGCACACATTTTATTATACAGCCCATTTCCACTTCAGGGACAGTAAACACTGGGTGCCACCAGAATTAATTTAGACGGGGATCTGACATTTAGTTACATAAAAAACAAACTTCTATAGTTGACATCCCAAATAAGTCGATAAAGAGAGTACGAGCAAACAATCTGAGTGCTCGATTGAACTGGTTAGGGAGAGAGGGAGCCCCAGTGAATGAAGGAGATGAGTGAAAAAGAGATGTGCAGAAGAGCAAAAGGTGACTGGAAAGGAAATCAAACACCAGAGTCATGCAACACTCAATGCAAACAATGATTTTCTGCGTTGCAACACTTATTGCATTAACATGGCTATGACAGGACTTCATCCCTCTATTAATTTAAGCTTTTTGAGTCATAGTCCATACTGTATGGGATTTTGTCCTAAGCGGCAACCTCAGTGACTGGCAAATGTAGCCAACATGGAGGAAACAAAAACAGCAGTTACTCAAACAGCCACCTTATTAAAATGCCCAACTTTGCAGCAGAAATAAACAAGTTTAACTAGCTTAACTACAAAAAAAACTAGCTAATTTCCCAATTCATGACTGTATTGTACGGGGTGTGCATTTTTATATAACCCTCTCTTTTAAATCAAGGCTTAAAATTATGCGTAATTAAGGGTGTGGCCACTTTGAGTGACAGGTGCCGCTGTCACAGTCATAGCTTTATTAATAGAGATGGGATTTATGGCTCTTTGAAGGGAGAGAGAGAGAGAGAGAGAGAGAAAGAGAGACACTTTTAACAGTTCTTACAGCAGGTTTTACACATTTGATGAGTGGTGTGTATTTGGGGAGAAGGAACAGGTGTAGTCTACTGAATTTGGCACAGCTTTTTTTCATAAGCTACTTTATCCAAAAACTGAATGTCCTGGTTCAAAACTATCACCTTTTTATAAGCTTAAAATTATTGATATAGAATAAAGTGGAACTTTAAGAAGCGACTCTTGAAACTGACAAGACATGATTCGATAGAGCACACAAACCTGACAACAGCCAAGCAACTTGCGCAATGAACGTTAATTAGCAATAGCTGATATGATCTGCTGCTTGCAACATTTGTCAGTTTAGAGAGAACACATTTCTTATCAGTGGAGCGTAGCAAATCAATGTATTTTGAACTAAAAATCACTCTCTCTGGTGCTACACTAATAAGCCCAACAATCACAAAAGAGAACAACACCAGCAGCCTTAGGATGACAAGTGACATGGCTAGTGAGTGCAGCTCAGACTGCAAAACCCCATCTAACAGAAACTAACTAACTTGTTCGCTCAACTAACTTACTCACATTCCCACACTGATACACAGCATCAGGAGCAATTTTGGGTTCAGTATCTCGCTTAAGGATACTTGATTATGATTTGGCACTATTTCTTGTATGTACTTATAAAGGATGTCCATACCTTTGCTTTTCTTTATTTTTTAAAATTTATATATGTTATATTATTTTTATTATAATGGTTTGGTTTCTGTTCTCTTATCTGTACCCCTCCTGCATTTTATTCTTCTTTTGATGTTGCTGCACCTGCAGATTAATAAAGGTCTTATACAGATAAAATTGAATTGAAAAATTTGATTTAATTGAATCTCTATTATCTATTACTCTTTTTTTTTCTCTCCTCATTTCAAGTCATCGGGTGTTACGTCACACAGTGTTTATCTGCACCAGTCGGTCTCTGAGTGTGCAGGCATCGGCCTGCCGCAGCAGTGTTCCTCTACATCACAGTCTGGATGACAAAGGTGGCAATGGAGCTCTGGTCTTCATTGATGTGGAGAACATCAATACGGTGAGATACATAACATGCCTCACACCTCCAGTACACACTTACAGTAGCAGCAGCTTTTTGCTTTTGCTGTCCGGTTGAACAACCTATCACTGCTCAGACTTTGTTTTACTCCTCTTGGCTCCTAGAGTGAAGCTGGCGTGCGTGAGTTTCACATCGTCCAGGTGTCCAGCAGCAGTCAGCACTGGCGCCTCCACAAGTGTATCAACCCAGCCAAGGATAAAGGTGTGTCTGGCACGCAGAGTCGTCTGTTTCATTTTTTCCATGGTCTATTAAGTTTATTTTTTATTAAGTGCAGCATGAGTAGTGAGCACAGCTGTGGTCTCCATTTGTTGTTATAAGGGGTTCGGTCTAGACCTGCTCTAT